CGGAGCCCCCAAGTCCGGTAGCCCCGGTCTCAGAGGACGCTCAGCTCTCCCACCCCTTTGTCCTCGCGTCCCTCTCGCACCTCGGTCTCCGTCCCCCAGCGCTTCGCAGCTCCTGTCACCGGTTGTTCCCAGTTACCTCCCCCCTTCCCTCCCCAGCCCTTGGTTTTTACATTGCGGCTGTTCTTTCATACTTTAGCCCCTCCCATTTCGTATCGTAGCTCAGGGTTTGAGGTCCCTCTCGTCCTGTCCCGCACCACTTCCCTCGTCCAGATGCTGAGCGCACCCGGGGTCGGGGTCGTCTGCCCTTCCCGGTCCGCACTTCTCACTCGCACCGAGGAGGGGGTGGTTTGGCCCGGGCCGCTGGGAGCGAGAGGGAGGTGGGAGCGGACAGCCTGTCCTCTGTGTTTCTGAAGTTTAAGTGCCTGACTCTGACTCGGCATGCACCCACCCTCCTGTCCACCGAAGCGTCCTGTTGGTGTTTTGGTGCTAAGTCATTCCTGGGTGTTGAGTGTGGAGATGGGAGTGACTCAGGAAGCCTCTCAGCTGCCCCTGACTGTCTCTCTGGCCACTCCGGGATCTGGATTTACTCTGGAGGATCCGCCTACCCTCTTAGTGCCTGTCTGTCCCTCTCGGTGGAATTGCTTCCGAAGAGTCCCTGCATCCTCCACCCCCTTCACCTCAGCCTCCCCCCCTTACCCCGAAATAGGGTAAGGCGGAGGGACTACTTCTATATTTTTAACTTTTAAGTTATCTGTGGATTTTTTTTTGGAGAGGTTTTTGCCATAGGGTGTATGCATTCTCCAGAAAGACAGAGACCAGAGAGCTAGAAAGCGAGAAATCACCACCCAGGGGGGATGGCCACGTCGCAATCCCTTCTCTTCCATTCTCCTCTCGGGATCTTGGGCACGCACACACACGTGCCTGGCGTGAGTTTAAGTCACCGGGTTCAGGACTTGAACCGCAGTTGACTACATGAGAGTCCAGCAACATACCCATTACATTAACTGCTGGTCCCTCTGTGGATTTTTTAAAAAAACAAATCACGTGCATTTTGTTTTTGTTATTCAAGAGTGTAATATGTGAAACTGATGATTCTGCAGCTTGGTGAGGGGGTTTCCTGGGAGATAGCCAGGAAACCTTTTGGCAACCCTTTGTTGCCAAAGCAAATGAATTGGGGTCTAATTAAGGTTTCTGATCTTGAGTGCTAGTGATACCACAACAAAGATGTCATGAGCTGGCATCTACCAGAGGGTAATGTAGCCTGGTATAAGCGCAGGTCCTGTAGCCAGACATCTTGGGTTCAAATCCTGAATGGCACACAATGCTGTGTGATTTAGAATAAGTTTCTTGACCATTCTGGAAGACTGTGGATGCATAGTAGAACCTGTCTCCTAGGCTTGTTGTAATGAATAAAATGACATTGCTCAGGTAAAGTGATTGGTACTGTGTCCTTCACATGGTACATTGTCAATAATGACCCATCTGGGATGGGGATGGGGTTGTTTCTTGGGACTAGGTACTCCCTGCAAGTCTGCATGTGTGTGTGTGTGTTTAGTTTGCAGTAGGATGAGTGTGCTTGCCTGAGAGAGTCAGGGAGGAAAGGTGAGGAATCACCCCCCAGGGGAGATAGCCAGGCAGTAATCTCTTCTCTAGTCTCCTCTCAGGATTTTGGGGATGCATGCGCATGCACCCAGTGTAATTTTCAAGCCATCTGGTCTGGGACTCAAACCCTGAAGTCGAGTCTCCCATACGTGACCTAACCATCCTAACCTCCATGCCACCTGCTGTCCCCCAAGTTCCCTCTAATGTGACCAAAGAGGCTCTGTCACAGTTCTGAATCATTCTGTCTTCTGCCTTCTTCATAGGAGGACATAAAATGGATAAGCCAAGAGAAAACTCAAGTGTTTGGGCTAGAAGGTAGAATGGATTTTAAGGTGCTAGATGTCACATGGCTGTGTGGTGTGAATGTTGGACCCAGTGGCTAGAAAATCACATCAGGCACATGTGTGTGCATGCCCAAAATCCTGAGAGGAGACCAGAGGAGAAGGGATTGCAGTGTGGCCACCCTCCCTGGATAGTGATTTCTCTCTTTCTCTCTCTCCCTTTCTCTTTGTCTCTGTCTCTCTCTGGTGAGTGTGTGCACCTTATAACAAAACTAAAAAAAAATCACTAAATCCAAAGCCAAATTATTAAAGGTAAATCAAAGAATGGCTTTTTAGGAAAAAGTATTTAAGGATGAAAGTCTTTGGGAAAGACTGTAATTGAGGCAGAAAAAGTGGTCACCGAGGATGGAAGGGGAAGTCCAAAGGATTTATTTATTTATTTGCTACAGGATGTGTGTACTCACTTCACAGGGAGGAGAACAAGAGACAGAGAAAGTGAGAGAGAGGGAGAGAGAGAAAGTAAGCACCCCTCCCAAGGGAGGTGGTCATTCCACACTCCCTTCTCCTCCATTTCTCAACCCCTTTCAGGATTTGGGGCATGCATGCACACACGTCTAGCATGTTTTTTAAGCCCCTAGGTCTGGGACTCAAACTGTGCAGTCATCCATGTGGAATCTAGCTACTTTAACCACCACAGCACTGGCCGACCTAGTCTAGGGGTATTTTTAATCTTTTCTTGAAATACATTTGGAAGTGAGTTTCCCCACCTGTGGAACTGATGATTGGCATACTCTGAAATAATATGGCATGGAAATAGTTCATCTCTTTTTTCTGCTCTTGTTTTTAAGTAGAAAGTTTCAAATGTTGTGAGAGTGGAGGCAATTAGTCTAACAACCCATGTGTCATCACACTGCTTTGACAGTTAGCAGTTTAAGTCCTTTCCATCTATATCCCTCACTTCCCAACTCTCTCCCCAGGTTATTTTGAAACAAATCTTAGAGATCATATCATTTCATCTATAGAAATTTTAATATACATCTCTCAAATGTAGGGGTTCCTTTTTTAAAATGTAACTCAATCTCATTATCATACTTAAAAGAAATTAAAAATTTCCGGGCCAGCTGGTGGTGGATGGATCCCATAGGCTGTCTACACTGTTTAACTCTTAGATCCAGCAGCTTGAAAAACACGTTAGGTGAATGAGTATGCATGCCCCAAATCTTGAGAGGAGAATTGAGATGATATTGTAGGATGGTCATAACCCCTGGGGGGGATACTTTCTGACTTTGCTTCTCCCTCTCTCTCACTCTTTCTAGTGAGCGCAAGTATCCTATAGCAAACGAAAAAAAAAAAAAAAGGGCCAGGCCAGCAGGTGGCATAGTAGTTAAGTTGCTGAACCACTATGTGGTCAACTGTGGTTTGAGTCCTGGACCTAGCGGCCTGAAACTTGCACGGGGTGTGTGTGTGTGTTCATGCTTGCCCAAAATCTGGAGAGGAAAGTGGAGGAGAAGGTATTGTGGCATGGTCATCCCTCCTGGGGAGTGATTTTTCACTTTTTGTCTCTCTTTCATTCTGTGTCTCTGGTGAGAACACGTGTCCCCAACTCCTTGTGCACTCTGCAGCTTGAAGAACATGCTGGATACTTTATGTGTGTGTGCCCAAAATCCGGAGAGGAGAAGAGACTGTGACATGGCTATCTCCCTGGGGAGTGATACCTCACTTTCTCTCTTTTCCTGTCTCTCTCTGGTAAGCACACATGCCCTATAGCAAATTACAAAAAAAAAGAAAAAAGGGAATAATTCCTTATATCATTAAATATTTAACCAATGTTCAAATTCTCATGATGGTCTTTAGTTTTATAGTTTATGCATGTGTGCATTTTGTGGCTGAGGGCATGTGCATGGGCCGGGGGAAGAGAGAGAGGGAGAGAGGGGGAGAAAGCCCCACTTGGTGGGGCGTGTTCACCCTGCAATTCTTGTTCCTCTGCCTTTCTACCCTATGGATTTGGCCATGTGCACACAAGTGCCCAGTGTGTTTTTCCATAGGGCGGGCGCCACCACGCCCGCCCAGTGTGTTTTTCAAGCTACCAGGGTTGGGATTGGAACCGCAGTTTACCAGGTCTATGGATTTGCCTATTTTGGACATTTTACATAACGCAATTATATATGACCTTCTATATCTGACCTTTTTTTTTTGCTGAGTATATAATCTCGAGGTTTGAATATGTTGTAGCATGTGTCTGCATTTCATTCAGTTTTTGTGGCCAAATAATACCCCACTGCATGTTTATGTGTTTATGGACACTAGGTTGTTTCCATTTTTGGCTATTCTGGATAAGGCCTCTGTGAATGCTCATGTGCAGTTTTTGTGTGGGCATAAGTTTTCATTATCTTGGGTGTATACCTAAGAGTGAAATTGCTAGGTCATATGGTAACTAGTCACTCATTTAAGGAGCTGTGTTAGACCACTTTCCCAAGTGGGTCCACCATTTCTCACCAGCTGTGTATGAGGGCTCTTTCCGGTTTCTCCACATCCTTGCCAGCAGCCTTTTTGATCATAGGCATGCTAATGGGTCTGAAGTGCTATCTCTTGGTGGTTTTGA